GCGATAAGTTACAAGAAACGCAGCTAAAGTCACGTGAATGGTCACAGAAGATAAACCTTACTCTAGATCCAGGGCTGTCTGAAATTCAAAGGTTACAGCTTGTTTCATGCCTTGACGAGTTTATTGGCATATTTGACTTTGGGAGTACTCCTATTAAGCCCACCAGTACTGTGAAGCACAAGATAAACACAGGCGACCAGTCTCCTATCAAACAGCGGCCCTATAGAGTAGCACCAAGTGAACGACGACTAATTCAAGATGAAGTGAACAAGATGATTGAAAATCACATCGTGAAGCCCTCTGAAAGTCCTTGGTCATCTCCAGTTATTCTAGTTCGAAAGAAAGACGGGACCTGGAGATTCTGCGTAGATTACCGTCGATTAAATAAGATAACAAAAAAAGATGTTTACCCGCTGCCACGCATTGACGATGCCTTGGACAGTTTAGCCGGCTCTAGTTACTTCTCCACGATGGATCTTCGGTCCGGGTATTGGCAGATTGAAGTGGACGAAAAAGACAGGGAGAAAACTGCTTTCATCACTCCAGATGGGCTGTATGAATTCCAAGTAATGCCCTTCGGTCTTTGCAACGCTCCAGCAACGTTTGAAAGGATGATAGATAGTGTTCTGGGCAGTCTTAAATGGAACATGTGCCTTTGCTACCTGGACGACATCGTTGTTTACGCACCTACCTTTGAGGAACATCTACGTCGTCTACAACTTGTATTAAGCTGCATCCAGAAAGCTGGACTAAGCTTGAACCACAAAAAGTGTCTTTTTGGATCAAGGAGGATAAAGATTTTGGGACACCTTGTTGACGCCAATGGAATTCATCCAGATCCAGATAAAGTTGAAGCCGTCTCTAAATTTCCGAGGCCAAGGAATATCTCTGAACTGAAGAGCTTTCTTGGATTATGTTCCTATTACCGAAGATTTATTGAGAACTTTGCCGGCAAAGCTAGATCTTTGCATGACCTACTGAAGACTGAAAAACAATTTTATTGGGATGCAGCTCAAGAGAAAGCGTTTGAAGTCCTTAAAACAGCTCTAATTTCAGAGCCTGTCTTAGGACACTTTGATGAATCCGCTGATACCCATCTACACACGGATGCAAGCGGACATGGTATTGGAGCTGTTCTTCTACAAATACAAGGTGGAAAGGAGCGGCCTATAGCTTATGCATCTAGAAGCTTGACAAAGGCTGAAAATAACTATTCTACAACGGAAAAAGAATGCCTTGCTGTAGTCTGGTCTATTAGCAAATTCCGCCCATATTTGTTTGGTCGACCATTCACGGTTGTCACTGACCATCATTCTCTATGTTGGTTGGTAGGGCAGAATGATCCTTCTGGCCGTTTGGCAAGATGGGCGCTGAAGTTGCAAGAATTTGACGTGACCGTTATCTACAAGAGCGGACGCAAACATAAGGATGCCGATTGTCTGTCAAGGAGCCCGCTTGAGAACGATCAACCAAGTGCTGTGATGTCACTAACCAACGTCGATATAGAACAGACTAAAGACCCGGATTTAGCTAAAATAATCGATAATTTAAACTCGGGCTACACCAGAAAGGAATTCAGCATTATCGACGGCATCTTATACAAGAAAAACTATAGCACAACTGGAAGACCCTGGCTTATGATGATCCCTAAGCACTTAAGATCGGAAGTTATGGCAGATTTACATGATGCTCCTACAGCTGGGCATTTGGGTTTCGCCCGGACGTATGACAAAGTCAAAAAACGATTCTATTGGCCTGGCCTTTATAGAACTGTTCGCCAATATGTAAGCCATTGTCGGGAGTGTCAACGAAGGAAGAAATTACCTCGACGTCCGGCTGGACAACTTGTATCCATACCGCCCGTAGAAAAGCCATTCTATAAGGTCGGGGTTGATCTCCTTGGAAGATTTCCAGTTTCTAAAGATGGAAACCGTTGGATCATTGTGTGCACCGATTATATGACAAGGTATGCCATAACGAAAGCGATCCCAGACGGAGGAGCAATCGAAACAGCTAAGTTCCTGGTTGAAGACGTCATCTTGAAGCATGGAGCTCCTAGAGAAATGATAACAGATCGCGGCAGAAATTTCATTTCTCAAGTAATAAAAGAGATCAATGCTCTGTGCGGAATTGTGCACAGATTTACAACGGCCTACCATCCCCAGACCAACGGCCTGACTGAAAGGTTCAACAAAACTCTGGGAGACATGCTGTCCATGTACACAGGTGTTGAGCAGAAGGACTGGGACCAAGTTTTGCCCTATGTAACTTTTGCTTACAACACTGCTAAACAGGAGGCGACCGGCTACACCCCGTTCTTTCTTGTCCACGCCCGCGAGGCCGAGACCTACATCGATGCCGTACTACCCTACCTACCAGATGAGATCTCTAACGACTACGTTGGAGAACTTGTGACCAGAGCTGAGGAAGCGCGTCAACTCTCCCGATCACGCCTTCTACAATCACAGGCGAAAGACCGTAGACTATACGACCAGAAACATACTCCAGTCTATTACCAGAAGAATGATCTTGTGTGGGTTTTTACTCCCATCCGAAAAGTAGGACTATCAGAAAAGCTACTGAAGAGATACTTCGGTCCCTATAAGGTGACCAAGAAGCTTTCAGAAGTTACGTATGAAGTAGAGCCCGTGGACCCCTCTCCCCGATCACGGAAAGCCAAGGATATCGTCCATGTCATTCGGATGAAGCCCTACCTGGACCCTGAAGAACAACATTCTATTCTGCTAGGGAACACCAGCCGTGATAGATTTCCTTCCAGAACAAGGGCTGAGACAAGCTAATCAGCGGGTCGCTGTTTTTTTCTAAGGAGGGAATAATGTCAAGAAGCCCAGCGGCTCCAATCACGAGAGGCCCCATGGGACGTTTGTCAATCATCGCTGGACACCGGGTGTGAGGGGTTCTGTGGAATCTGGCCGGCGGGGGGAGCTGAGGTCCCTCATTAGGATTAACCTTAACTTGGGGTAAGTTCTACTTTATCCATCTCCCTATAAAAACCCCTGATAATAAATTAATTATCCCCAAACTTGCCCTTGCTTTATTTATCTCCGCGACAATATATATATATATATATGGAAGCAATGGTCGCCTCTCCCGTCAAAATAAGCGTCAGTATCTGACGCCATCTATTGACCGTCGCCACAACTAGCGGCATCGGGTCGGTGACAAAGCCACAACACCAACTTTGGCAAACTGATAAGCGTCCACCTAGAGACCATGGTTTCGGGCTAATGGCCCTCGTCAGTCTAGGGCGGACTTTATTCCATGAGATCCACACGGGATCTAATGGAATCCTCACAATCTACCAAAGAGGTGTTTTGCTGGCAATGTGGCTGGGCCAAATCTTTTGGCAAAACATAGATGGTAACGTCAGATACTGACGTTTATTTTGACGGGAGAGGCGACCATTGCTTCCATGGATTAATTTCCTCCCGGCAAATTTTCCATCTATATATATATATGTTATAAATAAAAATAAATAGAGATTTTCTGCTTGAATTTTGATTATTTTGAGGATTAAACTATGTTAATGCAGTCTTGGTTAACAATCTTGAAAGAATAATAATATTGAAGATCATAGATTTATTTATTTGAGCTAAGGAATATATAAAATACATAATTTGATAAAAATAATGCCTGGCTTAAGTCGAGTAGAATAAGGAAAACAAAAGATTATTTATGTATTGTACAAAAGTTTTGAGCCGGCCATTGGGATAGAGAAAATATCTTTATTTACGGGGCTGCTAACCAAAATAAATGATTTTTGAGCCCCGATGGACGCATAAAGTGATCCGCGGAGTTCAGGGGGTGGCAGAAACGGGTTCAATGGTGTTGAGCCCGGGGGTGACCGTGGAGAGCAGACATACCGCAATGATTAAAGTATATGATTTTTAAGCCCAAAAGGTGTAGCAGGCAGACATGCCGCAATGCACAATGTCAAAGTACCAAGGTGCTGCACGCACCCAAGGCTGTTCAAAAAGGTAAGATTCCCCAGGCCAGGTAAAATAAAAGAAAGACAGCTGTTGTTTAAATAGGAATATTAGATAAAGCGAGAATGATTCAGCAACTGGTGGGAAAAGATAAGATTTTTTTGTGACAATGAATATATAAATGTTTTAGATAAGATTACTGGTGAGGGTACCAGTACTAAGACAACCAACCAGAAAAGTACACCATAGATTGCATAGCGCGTTCAAATGGGTCGCTGCGTAAGTCGATTTCTCGAGCAGTCCACGCCGTCGAATCGCCAAACCATTTGCCCTCTGTCCTTGGGTTACAGAGACAGCGTCAGGGGCAATCACATACGCAAGGCAGGTCGCGAAACCGATCTTAAACAGCGGCACATGCCAGAGTTACGTCTACGAGCGGCCGCCAATGACCGGTGTTAACCATGAGGTGAGGAGTCCGAGTCACTCAGGTGATCGGAATCCTCCGCGCGGACGCGTGGCTTAAGTCTATCAGAGGCCTTTAGGAACTCCAGGCAAGCTCGCCAAGTGCTCCTGTTGAAAATAAAGTCTTTGAGTTACCGCGGAGTATACCCTAATTCAGGCAGGCTTGATGAGCTCGGTCTGAGCGCTAGAGTCCTTGCAGGTGGGAGCAGGGCTAGTTTGAGTGGTTTGGCATGTTTTCTTGGGCATTTGGGCATCCATGATTTCATCCAGCTCCATGAAGTCATTCACGGTGCCCGCGAGGTTCTTCACATCCCTAACTAGGCACTTGATTATTTCCGTCCGCTGCTCAATGAAGCGAACAAGGTCCAGGTGAAGAGCTGCTAGGGAGGGCTGGCCGAGGGATTTCAGGATTTGGTAGTGGCGGGAGATGTCCATGTTGTCTTCTTCAACAAGAGCCGCGATGTCAACCGAGGGTTGAGAGGGCTTTCTTCTTCTTCTTCTTGCAGGAATCCATGGCGGGAGAGCGTCGGAGCGTTAAGGCCATTGGGATATTATTCTTTTTTCAATGCCTCCACAGGCCTGGGCAAAAAGTGTCAAGGGATGGGAATCGAACCCACGACCTTCCGCTTCACCGGGCAGATGCCATGACCACTAGGCTACCCTGGACGCCGTTGGGATAAAGCAACAACGAGTTTTTATAGGGGAAGAGTGACCTCTGGCGGTCGATTCAACAGAGTATTTGAATCTATGAAATTATAATTTTAAATAAAATAATATAACATATATATATTATGATGCATTAGCGCGCCATCTGTTATGAGAATTTACACTATTTTAGAAGCGTGTGATTCTTTTATAAATTAAACAATTATCTACTGCCCTTATTGCAAAGAAAAAATAATTTCATTGCAGTAAGGGCAGTAGATAATTGTTTAATTTTTAAGAAGACTCATATGTGTTATATACGTGTATATGGAAAATTTGCCGGGAGTAAATTGATCCATAGAATCATAGGGCGCCCCATTGAAGGTAGAGGCGCCCTATGCTTCAATATATACACACCACACGCAGTGGTTCAGCCTACTCCACGCTGACGAGCGCCAAAAAGCGTGAAACGCGTTCGTGGATGGCTTTTCTTGATTTATCAAGAAATTGGGTTGGCCAAATATCGGGGAGCGGGCTAGGTCAGTGTTTAGTTGATTTCTGTTCCACCGGATGGCGCTTTGCCTTCTGTGAAGCACATGTGCTCCTGGTCGGGATATGCCATTTTTAAAAAACATATATATATATAAAAAGAGAGATTAAGAGGAACGTGGTAAGTTTCTTTATTAAGCAGTATACGAGCTTTCGGACGTCAGCCGTCCTTCATCAGGTATTGACATGAATGAGAAGGAGATGCTATATTTATAAGCGACAGTTTAGCATAAAAAATATTAAACAAGAAATAAAAGATTAAAAAGATTTGAGATTTGCATGCCAGTAATAAAAATATTTAAAAGTGTACAATATATAGATTTAAGAAAATCTGCATACCTAGGATGAAGGGAAAAAGGCGGAAAACTAGAGGCGAAGACAAAAGCAAGAATAAAAATAAAAATAAGAATATAAACGAGAATATAAAAACAGCGGAATAAAGATAAAGTTAAAAGTTACGAAGGAGGTGTATCTGTTGGTATAGAATAAAAAGCAGAATATTGGGGCGGGAGGTCAATCTTTCTGTTGAGGCTGGGTGTAGTATTGGAGACAAGGGCTTCGAGAACTAAGCGTTGGTATTTATTTGCTATATCGCTATAAACGGGGGTTGTATTGTCGAGATTGAAGGAATGTCCGGATTCGGCGATATGTTGGTATATGAGCGATTTTTTGTCTTTCGAGCGGATGTTGCGGGCGTGTTCACTGGCTCTGATGGCGATTGTTCGGCCTGTTTCTCCAATGTAGCATAAATCGCAATCATTACAAGGAATTTTGTAAACGGCGTTAGAAAGGGATTGGGGGTTACGTTTGGCGGAGCTTTTTGTGATTGGATGTCGTAGGAAGGTGTAAAGGGAAGGTGTGCACTTGTAAAGAGTGCGAATGCCGAATTTACGTAAAAAGGAACCAATACCGGAATTCGTGGTGGAGTATGGGAGGACGCAGGTGCTTTTAAATAAAGGAGGTGTGGTTCTTTTTTGATTGGTGGTGAAAAAATGTCGGTCGATAAAACTGCGTGGATAGCCCGCGGACAAGAGATGCGAGTAGACCGTGCGCCTCTCGATATTTTTAAAGAAAGGGAGGGAACAGTGGGTGTAGATACGTTTGGAAAGAGTTCGGACGGTGGTGATCTTATGGGAGACGGGGGCGTGGGATGAAAAATGTAGGTACGAGGGGGTAAAGCCGGGTTTCTGAAAGACCGTTGTGTGGAATTTATCATCGGTGTTAATAATAAAAATGTCTAAAAATGGAATACAGTTAGAGCGGGACGGGTTGTGTGTAAAAAGTAGATCCGGATGGTAAGAGTTTAAAGCGGTGAGAATATATTAACACAAAGCAATAACGCGCCATCTATACATATAAACAAAAGGATTTAAAAGCGCGAATGCTTCTTTTATACATAAAACGAACTTCTACTGTCCTTACTGCGATGAAAAAATATATTGGGAGGGCTTGGCTCATCAGTGGTGAACCCTCCCAGCGGTTTCCCCAATTTAATCCACCAGACCGCTTCTCAGAGCTCTAATACTATATTGGATCATTCTGCTTTTATATGCTACACTGAAGGATGGAATCTTATAAATGGTTTTCAAGTAAACTATGGACATAAGCTTATAGGACAGTAGAATTACATTCAAATATTTGCTTCGAGCAATGCTCTTCAGCAAACTATAAAGACAAGGCCAGTTAGGAATAAATTAACACAAAGCAATAACGCGCCATATATACATATAAACAAAAGGATTTAAGAGCGCGAATGTTTCTTTTATACATAAAACGAACTTCTACTGTCCTTACTGCGATGAAAAAATATATTGGGAGGGCTTGGCTCATCAGTGGTGAACCCTCCCAGCGGTTTCGCCAATTTAATCCACCAGACCGCTTCTCAGAGCTCTAATACTGTATTGGATCATTCTGCTTTTATATGCAACACTGAAGGATGGAATCTTAGAAATGGGTTTCAAGTAAACTAAGAATCAAAGTCACACTGAGTGGTACTTCCAGTTCTTCAGACCAACAGCAACTTTCCTTCTCCATGATGGCTAATCCTCAAAAAAATACCTCTGGGACTAATGGAGATCGTTTAAACGACTTGAGGGATAAACAACAACAACAACAACCTATTAATTTACCATTTATGCTAA